ATCACTTTTGTGGATGATTTTAATATTTCTTGTCGTGGTAAAATATGCATACTATTGAACGGCAATTACAGTTGTGTTTAAATAAAATAAATAAATGGTGTCTTGAAAACGGTTTTAAATTTTCCAAATCCAAAACTAATTGTCTACACTTTTGTAGAAAATATAAACCGCATAAAGATCCCAGAACTATCTTTAAATGGCACTCCCATCAAAGTGGTTAAAGGAGGCCAAATTCTTGGGTCTCATTTTCGACTCCCATTTAACTTTTTTGCCACATATTAAATCACTGAAAGTCAAATGCCTGAAGGCACTCGATTTGTTGAAAGTTGTTTCCAACTCAAAGTGGGGAGGGATCAAGCTACACTCCTCCACCTGTATCGATCATTGGTCCGCTCGAAACTTGATTATGGCTCCATCGTATATGGTGGAGCCTGTAAAAGCAACCTCAAACTACTTAGATTCTATCCATCACCAGGGTCTAAGACTTTGTCTTGGGTCTTTCAGAACCTCTCCCATTGACAGTCTCTACGTTGAGGCCGATGAGCCATCTTTAAAACTTCGCCGTATCAAATTGTCCCTACAGTATATCACAAAGTTATATTCTAATGAATCCAATCCTGCTCACACTTGCGTTTTTTAATCCTCTTTATGAGGACTTGTATAATAAAAACCTTCACTTGTTCCACCTCTTGGGATAAGAATCAACAATTTATTTCTGCTGCTGGCATTGAGTTGGAGAATATATCTCCTTCCCGTCTTCTTTCCTCTCCTCCTTGGCAATTGGTGAGGCCACAAGTTGACCTAACACTGACAAAGTTTAAAAATCAGAAACTAACGAATTACAGTATAAACACAAGAATATAATCAATTAAGAACAACTATAATACATACAAATCCTTATTTACAGATGGGTCCAAGGATGGTGGCGCAGTGGCATGTGCCACTGTCATTGGATCCAGAACAATATCTTCTAGAATACCAGATAACAGCTCTATATTTACAGCAGAAACCAAGCGCCATCTTAACAGCTCTTAAATATATTCAAAAGACATCCCAAACATAAACAATATATAATATTTTCTGACTCTCTTTCTTGCCTTCAGGCGATTAAAATATCTCTTGCAAACATCCACTTTTTAATTGAAATAATCGAATTATATAATGATCTTGCTACTGGCCAATGCGACATCGTCTTTTTGTTGGTTACCCAGCCACGTTGGCATTTCTGGGAGAACACAATGGCTGATCTTGCTGCTAAGGCAGCACTCGACAAATCTGTGACACCACTTCTTATTCCTTACTCTGATTACAAAGCTTGCATTGGAACTTACATCCGTGATCTGATGCAGAAGAAGTGGGACACTCAAGTAGGTATTAATAAATTACATGCAATAAAACCTTACATTGGTTACACCTACTTGGGTTGTCAGTCAGATTTGAGGAGATCATTAATGCGAGCGATGTCGCATTGGCCATACTAGATATACCCATGAATATTTGCTTAAAGGCGAAGATCCTCCGTTTTGTATCCTTGTGATGAAAGGATCACAGTCAAGCATGTCTTGCTTGACTGCATTGAATATTCCATCACAAGGGATAAGTATTTAATGTCAAAACACTGAAGGATCTTTTTTAATAATATTAGTTCTCATTTAGTTATTGCCTTTTAAAAATTAGATTTGTTAACAGATTTGTAAATAGCTAAATATTTTTATGATTAGAAGTTTGGATTAGTAACATAGATTGTTAGTGGCTGTATCCTCGAGGGGTTAAAGTACTGTAAAAATTATTGTCCTCCTGAGGAGAGGGTACGTAAGATCTAAAACATTCAAAGTCAATTTCAACTTTCCGTTTTTAATCGTAGAATATTTGTAATTTTAATGTATGGCTAGATATGTGTTAATTGCTAACGGCTGAGGGATGATATAAATCCAGCTAGGGCCCATGCAGGAAGCAAATGTACTGTAAGTCCCCATGGTCCCTAGTATGGTGATCTACCTTCAGTTGTTGGCGATCTATAGCCCATTTTTAGATTGTGTTGTCCCCTATGGTTAAAATGTTTTAGATTCAATTACTAGTTTTACATGTCTATCTGTGATACTCTAGTTGTTTTACTGTCCTTCGTCGGCAGGTGTATTATAATATACATATATTTTATTTCAATATCAAATGTTCTCGTCACGATATGGCTGAAATATTGCCGATGTGACGTTAAATAATAACTCACTCACTCACTCAAGACTCACGATGAAAGCAAGAAATTCAACAGATATTTTAACTGTGCCAAGGTTGCTCGACAGAATCTGAAACTTGAAGTTGATTTTGTTGATGGCGATGTACTGCTGGACGCTACAGCGATGGGACTAAAGCAGGTGAAGTTATTCACCAAGTCTGCTCAGAGTAGGTCATTTGTGGAGAAGCTTTCTGAAAAGCCATCGTGTGTACATGCAGTGTGTGGAACAGAATAGCAATCCAACCGACTCCTTCGCCCGGATGAAGTCGGCTGGTCTTAAATGTGAAACTGAGGGCTTTAGTTTTGCTGCCAAAGACCAGTCAGTTCCCACTCGCAATCGCCTAAATGTGATTCTAAAGGAAAATATTTGCATGAAGTGCCGGTTGTGCAATGAATTTACAGAGACTGTCCAACACCTTGTCAATGGATGCCTTTCCTTGGCACAAACAGCATATCTTTAAAGACATGATGGCATGGCTCGCTGCTTCTACTACCGTCTTCGCCATGCCTGTGGCTTGGACTCCGAGGTCCATCCATGGTACGACCCTGAACATGTCCAGGGCGCCATGGAAAATGATGCTTTTAAGCTTCTTTCGAATAGGCCCATATACAGCCTCAGAAGAATTCCTGCCAACAAATCTGATCTTGTCCTTTTTGATAAAGCCAATAATTTCATTGATTTTTCTGTCCCTTTTGACAGCAACGTGATTGGCAAGATTCAGGAAAAGCATGCTTAGTATGCGGACCACTCCTTTGAAATGTCTCGCTTGCATCCCAAGTACACTGTCGTCAGGCTCCCCATTGTTCTCGGTACCTCCTGATCTCTTGGGGCAGATAAGGAGAGTGCCCGGGTTCTCCACTGGGAGCACAGCCCTTCTGACACTCTGGGTAATGCAGAAGGCTGCAGTGTTGGGGAGTCTACATATTCTCCAAAATGTTCTTGGTGGGTTTGACTAGGCAGCGTTTCCTGGGAGAAGTCCCTTTCACTGCCTGGGCTGCATGTAGAGGGGGCAAAGGCCCTGAGATGATGATGAGTCTTACCAGCCTGATTGTGCCAGGATCACCCGAACCCTCTCTGCTGCATTTTTATCTTAATCTGTAATACATAATAATTCATTCATAAAGCGCCTAGTATCCATCTGACTGGACGCTGTAATCAGAATCTGATCATTATTACCTCGGATAACGCAAGGTGCCTGTTAGGCGCTGGAAGGTTATAGTCACATGACTTTATCCAACCGGGTAGCCATTTTCTGCTGGGTACCCGGAGGCAGAGGCAATTTTGAACAAAGTCACATGTACCACATGTGCGTCGGTGTGGGGCAGGACTGAAGTCCTAGAAACTCTTAGGAGTTAAAATGCCAACACGATCACCCATCCAAGGATTCTCCGAGCTCGACAGTGCCTTACTGCCCCTGATTCGTGACCTGTGCTCTTGTAAACAATTGAAATTATTGAATTATGTAATGATGTTGCTACTGGCCAATGCGACATCGCATGTCTAGAAATACAATGGCCGATTTTGCTGCTGTGGCAGCAATCAACAAATCTGTGACACCGCTTCTCATTTCATACATCCTGCAGAAGAAGTGGGACACAAAAGAATAAATATATTACATGAAATAAAACATACATATTGGTTGTACCTACTTGGGTCCTCAGTCCATATTTGAGAAGATATGCACGCGAGTATTTGCTGAAAGGTGATGATCCTCCATTTTGTATCACGGTCAAGCTTGTCCTGCTTGACTGTATTGATTTGTCCATTACAAGGGATAATATTTCAGTGTTAAAAGTGCTAAGGATCTTTTTAACAATGTTATCATTTCATCATCGAATATTTAACAGAAATAGAACTGATTGATTCATATGTGTTGTGGATAAATGCATTCTTACTTATGGTAGTTTAAATCGGCCACTGAGATTGCGAGTGGCTGTATCCTCAAAAGGGGTTAAAGGTTGTAATGTAATGTGTGTGTGTGATATACTCCAAAACGGTCTGCGTGTGTGTGATATGCTCCAAAACGTGTTCCTAATGGTAAAGAAGTTGACATCCATAACACTCCCTTCCTTAATTACATGTTGCTTTTAACGAACAGACTATTTTCATCACTGCAGTATATGTGAAAATAACCTTGAAAATGTTCACTTTGTGAAACACCAGTATTTGGGGTGGGTTAAGCTCTGCTATGGTAAACTGCTATTTTACAAATAGAGTGAGTGGGTTAATATTTAAGGTCACATCGGCAATGTTTCAGCCATATCGTGACGAGAACAAATTTGACCTTGATAAAGGATATGTGTATTTTATAAAACCTGTCGTCAAAGGACAGTAAAACAACTAGACTATAACAGTTAGAATTAAACTAGCATGAAAAGTTAAAACTAATAGCACCATTTGGACAATACATAACATATAAAACAGGCTATGGATCGCCCACATCTGAATGTAGATCACCATACTATGGTTCCCATACCATGGGGACTTACAGTACTTTTGCTAACTGCATGGACACTAGCTGGATTTAACCACCTCTTCAGCTGCTGGTGATTTGCACGGTTCAGTTGCACGGTCTTTTAATTCAGGCTCGAATACAGATTAGACTGACATCTAGAATAGAATTCTGACCTTTTGCCTGATCAAACCATTACTTGATGATAAAGCAGCACACGTATTGTCCGAGCAGGGTAACCTTTTTTGTGGTGTATATATATCTTGGACACATTGTTTATTGTATCTTGTCCTCAATATTAAAATGCGTTTCAGATTACAAGATGTATTTGATCACTGCAACGCCTATGAAACCTTCGGATGACTTCGATATCACTCAAACTGATCTGAAGAAGCTTTACAAACATCAGACGAAACTTGTCATTAATACAGGAAAACTATCTGAAGGGGACACCAATACCAAAGCACTGCAAAGCCTGGCTGGAGACATATGTAAAGAGTACCTTGGTTATGTTAAGGTAAGTGTTAAAAACAAACCCATCACATCCGTTATCAATGAAATTAATCCAACCTTATGCAAAACCGAATGTTTACTTTATTGTGAAGGACATTGCCGTGACTGTGCTTGGCGGACTGTTTTAATCTGTGGGTGTACTTTGAAAAGTGTGTTCAGTAGGCAACATGTGACAATGAGGCCGTCACTTTATGATCTGTGGATGGACAGATTTGCATTTCCACAGGGATATAAATATACAATTACTATGATGCCTTTATAACTCAAGTAGCATTGGTATGGCCTCCTTGTCCAGTCTTACAGGTTATTGATAGTATCATCTACAAATGTGTATCTTCCAGACACTCAGAAACTTCATGTACCTCTTGTCACCAATGAAGTCACCTGAATTTGTTATGTGTCATTCCTCAGCATCTGTTTTGTGCTTTGTCTAGGGGTTTTTTGCTTTGTTTTGTTATTCTTTTTTGTTTTTGTTTTTGGTTGTTGTTTTTGTCTTTGTATGTTTTAAAAAGAATTTGGGGGGGGAGAGGGAGGTGGGTTTTTTTGGTAACAATATTCATATTTTGTATCTCGTATTAGCAGACAGCTGAATCAGCTGATATTAACTATCAACCAGAAACTACCAAATCAGCCTTTGGGATCCTTATTTACAATATTTTGTCCAATAACACTGCACGTTACTATACCCGCAACTGGTTGTTTGCATGTGTTTGTGTGTCCACCATCTGGTCACAGTGGAGCACTCATTTTATTGACACAATGCAAAGCGGGGCAAAATGTTCTATTTATCAGGCATGTACATTATGGGGAAGCAAGCATTAAATACGGCGATTGCTTTTTATGAGGTCTCAACATAGAAATACATGATCGAAACAAGCCTCTTCAACAAGTACATAAGACTTTATGAGGACAAATCCCCTTCAATAGTGAACAAAGATAAATCTGTATTCTGTAATCACCCAGCCCTCATCTTTGTGGAAAGCATGTTCCTTGGTGTAGAAAGATCAAAAGTCAAAAGGTGTCTTCACATTCTGGATAATGTGTTTCGATTAGCGCCATCTATTGGAGAAGCGGTCTTGGAGGTTAACTGAGAAATGTATGTCAATTGATTTAGACTACTGTCTAGTCCACCAAAGCAAAATATATCCATAGAGACATATATATCTCCTGAAAGGTGTATAAAAATAGGAAAGAACAAGTTCCACCAACTTCTCTTTGGAACTCTCTCCCAATTGAGTTAAATAGAAGCGACAAAACCCTTTGCACATTCAAAAGAAATCTCTGCCAAAAGCAGAATAGATTGTACAATTGTGACTATATCATGAGCAGACACATGATGTTGTTTGTAAACAAATCGGGCCTGAACCAGACAATTCAGTGATTGTCACCATGCAATACGATGAATCATCGTCTTTACATTTGAAACACGACTCTCTCCTCTATACGTGAATTTCAGTCATCTGTACATTCCATCTGTGTATTGTCTAAACTGATCTCAGGGAGCGCTTTGAGCATATCCCTGTGCCGTGGAAAAGCGCGCAAGAACTGGCCTATTATTATAATCGTCGCACTAAGTCAAAAGCTTCGTTATTTACACACCAATCTCTGGAATGCCGATCAAACAAGCATCGGGATACAACGAGCGGCCATGTTCTTAGTGCAGGTTTTAACATTTTATTTGAAATATATGTATAGTTTCCTTTATTTCGCGTGTTACAACAGTAAGGTATTGTAGATCACTAAATTATAATTTTTTGCCTCTTGTATTTATGGTTCGGGAACTCTTGAAGAGCAGCCTCCTCATGGGGAGTGCTGGGTGACGCTAATAGGTCTCCTCCTGGGTGGAGTGAGTGAGTGAGTTAAAATTTATCCTCACATCGGCAGAATATGTCCGGTGGACCCAGGGCAAAATATGTAAATAATATATAGCATGCTATAAAAGCTTATATTGGTTATATCTATTTAGATTGTCAGTGTTGATTTGAAGAGGTCATCATGCGACGATCTCGCATTGGACATACTAGATATACGCACGAATACCTGTTGAAAGGTGAGGATCCTCGGTTTTGTATCCCTTGTGATGAGAGAATCACGGTCAAGTATGTCCTGCTTGACTGTATTGATTTGTCCGTCACAAGGGATAAATATTTCAGTGTCAAAAGAATCAAGAATCTTTTCTATAATGTAAATTTGTCATTTAATACTTGTATTTTTTTAAAGAAATATAATTATTAGAAAAATTGAACAACAGGTTTTGTAAATAGTTCAAAGTTATTATAAAAGATTAAATTAGTAACTGATATTGTTAGTGGCTGTATACTCAAAGGGAGTTAAACTATTGTAGACGGTCGTACTTATAATAAAACTACTAAGCCAATGCCTATCTAACAACCAGGCATTTTGAATGGCTCGCTCATCTCTAGGCGCATCGACAAACAGTGGCGCTTTGACAAATGCTACGATGCAGGCATGTAAATGACGAAATGTCCAAGACTCATCCACATACCATCTGTAGTCCCTAGGGGTGAACTAATTTTCGTTAATTCTATCATATTTCCTCAGGAAACAATAACTTTCATTTCGAGTCACTGGTAATGTTCCCTTTAATAATCTATTTATAGTTCAACTGACAGCAAGAATCTCTTCTCTGTTCATATCTAAGATGTCTTGTCGAATCTTCTCAACGTACTCAAACATTAACAATGTTTCAACACATACCTAGCCATCCGCAATAATTGTAGAAAACGAGCATAATGAGATTAGCATTTGAGCAAACCTCTATTTATACATGGACAAAGACTGTACATAGAGTATATCTGCATTGGTTGTCTAATGTTGATTTATTACCAAGAGAGTTTCACAAATGAAAATATACAGTATTTAACAATGAACATCACGCTCTTGGTTACATGTAAATAAACATGACTAACTGGGACTAAGCGGGCCTCCTTTCTAAGGAACACTCACCAGGGCCAAATAATCTTTCATGTTCAACCCAGGGATCATCATCTACTTCCAAGTTCTTTAGAGAGAGACCACCTGAAAACACTTGCAAACACTCTGATTAAGTATACAAATCCTGCCTGGGTCAGTTGACTAGGTCAAGGCTGAAAGGAATTCAACCGTTCTTAGAACCTTGTTAGAGGTTTAATCAGAGGAAGAGTACTGTCTATACACAGGTCTTGTTGTCCGCACACATCTCCTCCCAAGCCCAAATGACAACGGGGATACATAGATCTGTGAGTTGATTGGCATTAGGATGAGAAGTCTCAAGTACCAGCAATTGCATTGCTTCTGTCCCTCCATATTCCTCCAAAGCTTTACAGAAGAGGGGAGTGGGCTTATGGCCTAGGTAATGTCCACAACCGTTCTCTGACACAGTCAAAGGAGGTTTGAGGTTTTTCTATATTTCATCCCTCGTTAAGTAAATTAAGACTTTAAACATCACCAGTTTGTTGTCCTCATCTTCTACACGTTGTATAGTTACCACGGAGTGATTCTTCCTGAGCATATCATGGAAGAGCATGTGTTCTCCCTTGCGACTCAAGGATGAATGGATTTCCTCCAAATACTGCTTGAGGACCTTATATTGCCCACCTGCTAAATGAGGTCATACCTAATACAATATTCTTTACCATTGTGATGAGGTCAGCCACCTCTCACCTTGAAATCCAAAAATAGATATGTGCACATGCATAGATGAGATATTTGCAAAATGAGGATACACAGATGCAAGGCGATTTCATGCCTTAGGTCAGCCCAGTACAAGGTCAACTATCTGTGAAATGAAGTCAAGCAAGGTGTAATATACAATGAGCACAAATTAAAAGCAATGTGCAATGTACGTTTAATTGCAACAGCCTGTAGATTGACAAGAAGAGTAACAGGACTGTGGATCAAATCCTGCCTCAACAAAATAGAACACCCACTAGAAGCTTTAACAGTCGGAGGGGCGAAAGAATGATAAGAATTGTATTAACAAAAGTCAACATATCCGTTGGCATGAGATAAGTCTCCTGGAGATAGAATGCTGAAGGTTGAAGGTCCTGTACTGGTAAATTTAATTCACTGACATTGGTCTTTAGACCTCTGCAATTCTAGTGTATGAGTGGGTGATGAGTGGTCACGTTATTTGGCGTGGGTGTACAGGCGATCTGCTTTGCTCTGGTCGTGGACAATTTTGCTTCTGTTGTGCATATGGGCATGTTCCGACACATCCATGTCATCCAAGACTTCATACTTATCAAATACTTGTACTGGGTCTATGAGACCCTTTGATAGTCTGTCAGATTGATTTGAATGATCAACTTTCTTGCTGGCATTTCTAACAACAAGAGCAGATGACGATGTGTTTTTGTTGTTGTTGTTGCGTATGCCTCTGTGAGTTTACAGTAGTAAATGTCAGGAGCATCAGCATCAGGAATAGAAGACGTGCCAACAAGTGAATAGGTATCTGTTTTGGTCAAGGCAATATCTAATATTCTAAAATCTAAGCAAATTACATAGGGCATATTTCAAAATCAAGTGATATCTTAAAAACCATACGAGCCAAGACTTAAAGTCACAAATAGGTTTCATCATACAATTTGTGCAAATGCAGGTAATGCACGGGGCTTGATATGACTAGCCGATTGATACAACCGGACCCCTTCTACAATGCGTCTCGGTAAAATAAGGGTCAAAGTAGTGTTTTGGGCAAAAGGAACGCTGTTCCTGGAACCAGTGGCCTCAACCACCAGAATCCCGCCCTCCACCGACACAATTTGGTCTCCACCGACACAATTTGGTCACACCTTACGACTAGCAATGGGGTGCTGTGGAAACATTATACCCAGGTAGACACGGGGGAAGAGCTATTAGCATTACCCAGTTTGAGGAGGTTGTTCTTCACAAGTGCCCCAAAGGACAGACTGAGTAAAACAACTAGATTTTTATATTTTATTACAGTTTTATTTAGTTTGAGAGCACATGAAATAGTAAACTGTTAAAAATGATATCTGGGGT